GGGCGGGCACACGGGGAGGGTATAGGGCGGGCACAGGGGGAGGGGTATGCGGGCGGGCACAGGGGGAGGTGTATGCGGGCGGGCTCGGGGCCTCACCGCGGTTCCGCCGCAGGCGTCCCCAGTGGTAGTAGCATTCCTCACTGCGCACACAGCGGCCCGAGGAGGACACAAGGTACTCGGTGCCACAGCGACAACAGATTCTGCAGGAGGCTGTGGGTGAGGACAGATGGACAGGCGGAGGGCGAGTGGGCGAGAGGCTGGCACCCAGCACCCCGAGCACGATGGCCCGACTCAGCAGGCCGCTCCCCACCCAGTCCTGCTGGCGGGGACGCGGCTGGAGGAGACTCACGGTCCTTGGGCTTCTTCTCCTCGGCTGTGAAGATGACGGCGCCCCCTGGGCGCTCTGGGTGGGGGAAGGGGTAGCCGTTCTCCTTGAGCTGCTCCTGAGTGAGCAGGTACTCCCTGAGACGGCTGTACAAGGCGTTCCCTGGGGGGGGGGCACAGGGTCAGGGGACCCGCACAGGCGCACGCACGCACACGCACACGCACGCGCACGCTGCTGTACGGGCAGTCCCTGCGGGGGCGCTGGCTGTCACTGCTGGGGGGGGGCGGTGATACGGAACATGGGGTGTGTGCCTGTGGGTGGGTGCGTGCACGTGTGGGTGCATGTGTGACGGAGCAGCAGCGCTGTGGACTCACCTTTCAGCTCCTCCACCCGTGGGCTGCTGGGCCGGCTCAGTGAGAAGCTGGTTTTGGCTGCCAATCTGCCTCCCAGCACCACCTCGTGGGACACAACTCTGCGGCCACCGGCTTCTAGAAGGAAGGGGAGGAGCCAGGCAGCGTGAGCCGGCCGCAGTCTGTCCTCAGGCCGCCACACTGCTGCCCTAGCCAACTCCTAACATGTCCACACCCTCTACTGCCTACAGAGTCCCGGCTGGGAAGGGGAGGACAGGTCACCCCAGGGCTGAGGAACCCCCGACCCGTGCTCTGGGTGGCCAGGCCAGGCCGACTGCTCCTGACGGAAGGTGTGAGGCAGATAACGACTGCCCTTTGAAGCTTTGAGCTGTCACCACCTACGAAGGCCACCCCGGCCCTCCAGCGGAGGGGGGGAGCTAATGGAGCCTAGGGCTGCCCGGGGAAGCAAGATCACCGTGGTGGCTGCCTAATGTGGCCTCTCAAGGAAACATAATGAGGCCTCTTAACTGTCCCTCTCCCCTAGCAAATGCAGTGCTCAGCCACTCACTGTGAAGAGGCTGTGGGCGCCATTAGCAGAGGCCCCACCCGTGAAGGAGGGAAGAGGCAGAGGAACCTCAGGCAGCAGCCTGTGCGTGGGGACCAGGGACGGCCCTGCCACTCCAGCCTGTGCGTGGGGACCAGGGACGGCCCTGCCACTCCAGCCTGTGCGTGGGGACC